GAAACCCCGGAATGGCTCGAAGGAGGGATAAAACCGCATCGGCGCAACAGAAGCGATCAAACTCCAATCAACCTCCACACAGTCGCACGGGCGGAAACCGAGCTCGACAGGGTCGGTGCCCCGGCTAAGGCCATCCGCGACTTCGTTGGAAATGCCGGGGATATGATCCACGTGCACAGAGATGTGAAGCCGTTCCTGCAACGCGAAGAAGATCCGTTGTGTTTTGTGCGTGTTCTGCTATTTCATGAAGTTGTCTCCAGGCTGAGACCTATGTACAGTTTCTCGCAAGTCGCAGATGTAATCTTATACTCCGCTAATTTGACCTGAGCGATAACAGGCTTGTAGAATGCCGACTTCACGGCCATGCAGCTCTACGTGTTTTAAATTTGTGCCTGGTTGAAACACTGAATGATACACATCCAGGTGCCTGTCTGTTTCACGTATCACTTGCATGTATCCATGCCTGTTGCTCAAGGTTCTAGTGCAGTGGACTACAGCTGTGCGCCTGCGCGAAAAGAGACACCTGAGTGCCTGTGTTCCTGTACGCCTAGCGAGGGGATACACGTTGGCTACCAACCTGCTAAAGGGTCAGCCGACCTGCGATATCTGCTAACCCAGAATCGGGTTGAGGAGAAAGCCCAGGCTATCTTTTTCAAGGCCGGGGTGGATACTGTCGCGAAATTTTCGGCTCTTCGTGGTTGCATGGCAAGCCGCTCAGGCTAGTATCAAAGGCCATGCTGCGCTAGAAGCCGTTGCCCAGCTCCGGGAATGGGCTAAGCCGATAGCCCAGACCGACTTTATATGGCTATGAGGCAGGCTTTCGCCCTCAACTTCGGAGAGCTAGAAGATAAGCACGTGCCGGCTAAGGAAAAAAACAAAAAAAAGAAACTCCACGAGCTAGAGACTGGCGAGTTCAGGGCAGAGCCCCTGAGGTCCTCTCACGGGGCGAGATAGATCCGGAGACTCTCGTTCCGCAGTGGGATAGCAAAGGCACGATAGTGCTTAAAAAGGCTACAACGGGTAGCTTTATGTCGCCCCAGGGCGCGTGAAGTCGCGACACCGAATGGCCACGCGGGAATGTGTGAAGTCACACCAGGGCGTTCGAAGTCACACCACAAGCATAGCTGCACATCGCTTTCTGCATGGCCACGCATTTCCTAGCACATTCCTGGCACAGACTTCAATTTAGGATTTCGAGTGCCGCGCGCAGGCTTTCTTTGGAAATTATGCCCCGGAGCCCTGATAAGTCTGCCAGTTTGGCAGCTAAGCACCATGTGCACGCGAAATCAAGCATGTAACAAGCACCCTCAAGACTCAAGACACACATCATTGGCATCACAGCGCACGAAAACTTGAGTAAGACCAGGCGCTCCCCATGTAGACGCTCGATTTCAGAGGCGCCCGCTCAACACAAACAGCAGTACGAGAGGAAGACTTAAGTCAGATTCGAGTATCAGGCTGACCGAGACCCCCCTCTGTTAAGACTTTTTATAAGAAAGAATGATTGGTCAGCACCCCAAAATTTCCGCTTTCCAGCCGGGAGCACCAGTGCCCATTGCGCCCAAAATCCCACGATTACTCTGCTAGACCCCATCTAAACGCAGGGAGGGGTAGTGTTCGATTTTGTCAAGTTGTCACGCAGCGCGGAGGTGTATCATGACCTGCGAAACTTGGCTCCAACAAGTTAACCCGAAGTGCACGCGCAGAGATACAACATCAAGCCCATTAAAGTATGTCCTTGCCTGCTGTCGGAAGTTGTTCAGAATGGCTTTCCCCCAAGGCCACGCGCCAAGGTATGACTTCACACAGCGCGGTACGAGTTAACACAACCCCCCAGTAGCTCCAGAGGAGCACTGCCCTCCAATCCAACGCTATCCTTTACATCGCCAACCAGATTGGCGATCTGGGCCTCCGCAATTCTTTGGGTTTGGGATCCTTTGCGAAGCACTTGTCACCACGGCAGGTCGCCTGCGCTTCCTCGAGCTGAGCCTGAGCCTCCAGCAGGAGCATACGAGCCTGTCAATCTTGAGAACGAAGCTTGACGAGGAATGCGAGACTGGAAGAACCGTGACCTCGATGTCCTCCCCTGCCGGTGCCGTGTTGCACCCTCCCTCGCCAAAGTACCCTGAACTGTAAGCCTCTTATGCTTCCTTCTCCTCGCCAGTGCCAACATCCCCACATTGGCACATCCACCGGTAGAACATATGAGAACACGGACTCCACCAAGTCTTCCTTTGGGGAGTCTTTGGTACTTGTAGCAGCCTGGCGAAGCAGCTACCATCACTGCGGCCCCACCCTCCAGCTCACCTGCTTAGTATTCCCAACACGCTGCCACTTTCCCCGCCGTAAGTCACCCCTTGCCTCCTGAGTTTAACCGTGCACCCCAGATCATTTCATCCCGGGCTGGGCGGGTGGGACAAAAGTTTTCCTCAACTCACCTTGAGGAGCAACTGCAAGCAGTATAAACGTAGTCACATGCCCAACAAGGAGCGCATGGCAATGTCGAGTGAAACGAATTCACAAAAGTTTCGCATGCAAAATCGTGGCATAAAAGACTTGCATGTCCGAAATTAAGATGTCAACGGAAAGCATGTCAAAACAGAGCATTCCTTTTTGAACCCGCTTTCCCACGGAAGGCTGTCCGACGTTTCATAAATTTATATCGCGTGCGCCCGACTGAGTGCTTATGAAGTTCGTCGGAGCTTCAAAAGGAAAGGATCTTCATTGTGAGAACCTGTTACACAAAACGTGGCTCAACTCATACCGCCCGAATATGTGGGCATCAATTTAATTAATCGACATGACTGCAGAACAGCAAGAGTTGCCAGAAGCATCCAGAAACGACCGGCGCGGCCTCGGCGGTGCTGGGCGTAAGCCTGAGCCAGCGACAATCCAACTCCGGAACCCGCAAATGCTGTTGCTTCGAAGCTGCCCCCCCCCTCCGTTCCTCCAACACCGTCGCAGAAAATCCACGTCGGCGATGTGGCGTCGCTGCTGCCGCGCAGTCGTCTGGTGTGCGTTCGGCTGCCGGGACTTCAAAAGAATGAGTGGTCCGGAAACGAGCCTGCAAGCGCAGGCAACGCCGCCGCAGATGGCCTTCGCGCCTGGCGAGTGCGTGAGGGTTCGGTATCGGTAATACGGTATGTTCGCTCCCCTGACCAGAGCTTGTCTTGATGATGTGGTTTGCATTGTCGAACTGTAGATACCACGCACTCCTCTGTTCCAGAATCCCTTGCAGGCAAGTTCGGCTCACTCTTTGTGTCGTCTCGCTCCAGAGTGACAATCTGTCTGTGTGTGGGAATGGCTCAAATCCTTCTGTAGGTTGGTCAAGCTGACTAGCTTTGCTAGTTGGCAAATATATGAGCTGTTGCTTGTTCTTGAGCAAAAGTTGCATTGCATGCGGAGCATATGGTACTCGTCATAGCTCATGGTCCGAATACGGGCCCGTGAGTATGCCGCAAAAAAATTAGAAACAAGAACCGCAAAACGGTCTATTGCTCTTGTGTACATGATTGCTCATGACATTGGATAACATAATTCAGGTCGCGATACCTACGATTGGACTAGGCATCGACGTCCGTTCGCACCCCCCATCAGTGATTTCTCCGGCAGTACTCACATAAGGAGAGAGTCGCGATCGAAAAGCAACTTTGGTATGTTCTTGGATAAGAGCCTTGCATTCCCAATTCGAAATGTTGTGACACTTCGCTACGTCGGTGCGATCCCCTGAAGCTTCACTGAAGAGGAAAAGTCATCGAAGAACAAGGCCGTGATGAGAGATCACGCGCGGGTGGAAGTTGTCACAATGTTGGCCATGGCTCGGACAGCTCTCACCAGCTGTCGCGTTCCCAACGTCGGTAGCGCTCACGTTCGCCTTCACGTTCTTGCGGGGTTCAGGGCTGGCCTTTGCTCTTGTCAGCCTTGGCAGTGTAGGCGTTGGTATTCCTTGGTACACGACGTTGACCTGGGCGATCGGAACGAAGTGCTTTGGGATGCGCAGGTTGCGTTACACGAGCACGTTCAATTGGCTGTGAGCTCGGTGTCCTTCGGCCACAAAGCCTGAGAGGGTAAGATGTCGCAGCGCATTGCTCCCAGACTGTTTGTTCTTCTCCGTGTCGGCCTTCCGCTTGAGCACTTTCTCGAGCATTCTCGCAGGGACTTGAACGGTTGTGGTCGATGAGGAAACCCATGGTAGCTGCGGAATTATCCTTCAAGATCTGAATCAGGATGATGCCCACCGGGTCAATGTACAAGAAACTTGTAGGTCCCGTTGGCGTAGGTCGAATCAAGGAGAACCTGTCATATCCAGTGATCTTGGGAATGATCTCGCATAAAATACCAAGACAGCTGAGATGAATCTGCTGCGGATCTTGACCTCTGCGAATGTACGTCTCAGGATTGAAGCCATCCCTGCCCATCTTGATTGATCCTCGGGCAAGTTCCGACAGGATCTGATTCGCGCGAAAACGCTTGTGTAGCAACTGGCTCCCTGGGTCATCCACTTCACTTCGGTGACCTGAGCACGTTCGAACTTCTTCATCTGTCACTTCACGACTGATATTTAGAGGATTTGGCCTTGCCTTTGGGCGTACCTTTGGCCGACGGAATGTCGGGGCCCGCAACCTGAGCATCCATGAGTTTACGCTTGCCCGGATTCGGTTTGCCGGGCGCGTTGGGAACATGAGGTGGAGGGGAACGTGCCGGCTTAGGACGGGCCTGAAGCAACGGGGTAACGGGCCATGTCACGGCGGCAAAAACCAACCTCATTCAGACTGTCAGTGAGGGACCAGGACTCGGAGGCCCAGACCGAACGACCCGCAGAGACCACCTCCTGTAGGGTCGGAGGTCGAAGAGAAGGGTCGGACGGAACGCTCAAAGCCAGCGTGACAAATTTGTCGTTGAACCGCTTAATCGTTGCCAGATGCACCAAATCCAGCATCGCAAGGGCGGTGGCAAACAAATCCAGTCAGCGGCGGAGCACCGACTCGGACGGGCCGTTAATGTTGAAGGAGAAGGACGGGCCCTATGTTTCCTCCGGCAGATCGAGCAAAGACCGCAGCATTTGCCGATCATTGCGAGGGCGACGGGCTTCCTCCCAACGCAGAGAGTCCGCCTCGGACGTGCGTTGACGCCAGGGCAACCAGACGGACTGACCCGACTCGTGGTGCTGTCGAACCAGGGACAGAAATTCCAGAGACGGCGTGTTGGCCGGAGTGAGAAGTTCGCCCGGGTACTTGGGCCCACTGCCTGTGGACGCCGATTTGCGTGCTTGGTCCCACTCCCACGCGAGCTTCCTGGCGGGCTTCCAGAAAACCCCGTTCGAGGTGGCGTATGGTGGAAAAGCTTTTCATGGGAAGCTCTGCGTCTTTGGCGAGGCTGTGTTTGGAAAGGTGCCCCGCAGCTACAAGGCCGAGCCCTACATGATCGATGGAATGTAGGTCGGTGGGCATTTCCGAGCACAACGGCTGCGATTACTTGATGACCGAGCACGGCTTTGTGGAAGCTACCTCGGTGAGGCGTGCGGCCCCGGACTTGCAGCTCAGCGCCGACAAGCTCATCGAGAAGTACCAGGGTCTTCCCTGAAAAAAGACGACTGTGGAAAAGAAGTGGCGCAAACGGGCGCCGGCGGCTCCCATCGCGGCACCCTTTGCTGAGATCGCCGCCCCACTTGAAGCACTACCAGCACAAGGCGAGAGTGAAGCTTTGGAGGCCGAAGCCGAGGCATCTCGGCCAGCTGAATGCAACGATAACTACGAGAAGCTCACGGTGACCTTCGTGAAGAGAGGCTTCGGCGGGTCTCTCGATCGTTCGCGAAATTGCTGTCACTGATGGCCTCCGCTAGCGTGGGGCTAGTGTGGTTGTAGTCCATGGGGTTGGCTCGGAGGATGGACTTCCCAGGGTGGTTCTTGACGCCCATCTCGCTGGCCCACTTTTACTCCTCAACCAAACGCGAACGCCTCCACCATCCAGGCCGCTCGCCTCCAAACTTCAACAGTGCCTTGGTTTACAGTTTCGTGAGGAACCAGCTAAGTCGTTACTTTGTCCAGTGGCGAGGCTGAGCTCGTTGCTTTTACGCAGGTGGTTTCTGAGGCCATCTTGATCAAGAAGGCGTGGGCCCTTCATCACCGACGGCCCCGTGGAGATGATTGCCCGCACCGACTCCAGTGTTGCACGCGCAATCGCGCAAAGGGCCGGCATAGGAAGGGTACGGCATTTGCAAACGTCGTGCCTTTGGATCCAAATGTGGGCGGCCAACAAGGAGCTCAAGGTCCTCGCGATCCCGACCGATATCAACCCAGCGGATGCCGGGACCAAAGTTCTCACTGGAGCGAGACTCAAGAAGCTGTGCGGCATCATGGGCATGGTGAGTGGCAACGGCGACCTCCTGCAGGACGACTCCAAGACCAAGGCCCCGAACCTCGGCAACGCAACGAGGGTGCTCATGATAGTGCAGGCTTTGTTGGCAACGCAGCTCGAAGGCTGCGACGCGGATGGGGATGGCAACTTCAATGCGCTGACCCACCTCATTGAGATCATCTACGCCTTCGGGTACACCTTTTCCTTGGTTGGCGGCGGCTACCTGTACACGCTGTTCGGCATCGTGATTGACGGTTGTCTTCTAGGTACTCGTCGGGGCAACATGGCGGCTGACCTTGTGCTGGAGAACCGCTCCTCTATTAGACTCTATACTGCAGGGCTTGGGCCTGGCTACGGCTACGAGGTTCGTTCTTTCGAGGGGGCGTCTCCGGCAACAAACTGCAACAACGAGGACACAGCCGACCACGAGGACACAGCCGACAACGAGGACACACAACGAGGACACAGCAAACGACGACGAGGACACAGCTTACAACGTGGACGTCACCAACAACTTCTTGGGCACTCCCTTGGCAACTATGGACAGTAGTCTGACAGTAGTGGCCCAGCTGGCTCAGGCAATGAGGCTGGCATGCGATACCGCAGGGCACAGGCAACAAGTTTCTCCACTGCGAGCTCGAGCGCACCAAGGACCACGGCACCCACTGCTTCTTCGTCTACGGCCAGTTCTTCGAGCACACCTGCGACTGCTACGGCTTTCGCTCCGACTACTCCAACACCGAGCCCAATTATGCGTACCCCAGTGGACGCCAGTTCCAGTGAGCATCGAGGGTAGAGAGCCGGCACGTGCAGGACGACGAGCCTTGACAGCCTTGACAGACGACGAACTGAACACAGAGGTTTGGTTGGCAAGCTCCCGCGGCTACGCTTTCCACCGGCGTGGGCGCAGGAACTACCGTGGCTCAGCGCGCACCTTCCGTTCGGTGCGCATGCGGGAAGCATTGGCCATGGGCAAGCAGCCCTGCCAGCGCTGCTACTTTGACGTGCATCGAGCATTGCACGGATCCTGAAGTGTGACTTCTACAAGTTTGGTTCGGCGGCTGGCGGCGCGGCTTCTGGCAGTGGCATTGCAAGCTGCTTCAGGGACTGACTTTCAACCTCGAGCACTACGGTAGAGAACCTTTGCAAGTACAGTTTCCAACCTCAGCCTAGTTTCTTTCTTTTGCGCGCAAAGCTTTTAAAGAGCATAGCACTTTTCAGTCCGTGAGGGACAGAGTTGTGTGATGGGTGAAAGTCCAGATGTGATGCTGAGCATGCACATCTGAGGGGGCGTGTAAATGCATGCACACCCATATCACACGTGTATGCATACACATAGCACGCACACTCTTTCGTGTTGCGAAGCATGCTGAAGCAGGCATGTGGAATTGCAGAACTCCGCGAAGCCCTGGCTGAGTGTGAAAAGTGCAGAGAGCCTTTTAGGGTTTTACAGAAGGACTGTTGTGGCCATTGCCACACGCTAGCCGGGCGCTCGCCCTTGCGGGGCCCAGCCTATCCCAACAAAAATCAACGAAAATATTGCCAGCAATCGCCCAGTCTCTCTCTTTAGGGGTTGGTGAAACTCCGCACCGGCCGTGGACCTGAGAAATTAGCCCAAGTAGCCCGCGAGTAGGTGGCGCACGGAGGCGACATGAAAATCATATCGAAGCAGCCTTGCTCAACGAGATCCAGATAGCGCTGTCTGACCTTGGAGTCGACCAGGTCATAGCGCCGGCCTCGCCTCTTATCCACCAGCGTGACAGAGACGTCACAGTGGAAGCTAGCCGCCAGTCACCGAAGCTGAGCTTGAACGCTGCCTGCACTATCCTTTCCAGAAAAGAGGCAAAGCGCACGTAGCCTGGAGGACCGTGGCGCTCCACCGGGTCAGCTAGCCGAGGCTCCAGGATCCGGTTTATCCTTAGTGCACTTGGTAGCCGGGTGATCGCCAAGGCACTTCGCGCACACGTGCACGAAGTGGCACTTCTCGCCTTTCTTGCAGCCGTTCTTCGCGTTTTGTAGCGATAGCACATTGGCTTGCCGTCGGCAGTGCGACTATAGCCCTCTTTCTCCTTGCCAGTCTTCTGCTTCTTGTTCTTATCCTTGTTTTTGTTGCCTCGCCCCTTGCCGTTGCCCTTGCCGGGCGTATCCGTGTGCTGCGGGGTATCCTTGTTCCAAGACTGCGGCCTCTTCGCACATAGCGACAAGGGAAGCCGCATCTCGCCAAGCCAAGGTCAGAGCATCGGCAAATCCTATCGAAAGGTTGGCCATCTGCTTGTAAGCAAACTTTCGGATAGCCCTCTCGTAGGATAGAATCAAGGTCCAGGGCGGAGCTAGCGAGCCGCTAGCCTCATTTGACCTTAGCCCATAGCAGTAATCGCCAAGGAGATAGTCCTTATATTTCTCGAATAGCTGCTGATTCGTACTCCGTAGCTCCACGCGGCCCGGATGATGCAACTGCATCAGAAAGAGGGCATCAACCATGACAGTTAGCCGTAGCCGGAGCTGCTCAGGATTAGCCGGCAAGGCCTCTTTGGAGCTAGCCTTGTTGAGCACGATCGTGCCTTTGCTATTACTTTACTGCGGAACGAGAGTCTCCGGATCTATCTCGTGCCGTGAGAGGACCTCGCTCAGGGGCTCTGCCCTGAACTCGCCTCTAGCTCATGGAGTTTTCTTCTCGATATACTCCTTAGCTGGCTCTCCGAACTTGAATGCAAAGCCTGTCGCATATAGCCATGTAGTCGGTCTGGGCTATCGGCTTAGCCCACTCTCGGAGCTGGGCCGCGGCTTCTATAGCTCAGTGTGGCCCTTGATCCTAGCCTGGGCGGCCTGCCACGCTACCACGAAGCTAGCCGCGAGCGCCCTGTTAGCCAGAGCAGTGTCCACATCTATCGAAAAATCGTCCTTGAGGACCCCTCTCAGGTCGTCTTCGCTGGTAAAGCTACCGAAAACTTTGCGACAGTGTCCACGCCGGCCTTGAAAAGAATAGCCTGTGCCTCGTCTCCCACCCGATTCTGGTGAGCACGTATGGCAAATCGGGTTAGCCAGATTAGCCGCCAACTCGACATCAGCCGTGGCAGCTGGGTCGCCCATCGGGCCCTATCCAAAGAAGAAAAACAAAGGCTTGAAAGGAAGTGTTGCAGCCAGCTAGCCTTTCTCTTAGCCGGCCTCGGCTGCTTGCTGAGGACCCTAGCCTCCACCTCTCCCAGATAAGTTAGGGGCAGGCCACCATGGTGCTCCCCGACCCCAACACCTCCATACGTTTGTTGTCCGGCTCCACTGGACGGAAGGATGAGGGGGTCGGAGCCACCCTTACTGATGTTGACATCCTCTTCCGAAAGTTTATCGGGAGGTACGTGATGTTCTTGGATTCGAACGATATGATCTTGGCTCAGGGACCAATCTCGTACATCCTCCCTCCGTTTGGTCATATCAGCACTGGTGATCTTGAGCGATTCTCTGATGTGACGTCATCTTCTGGAGCTGGGACTCTGCGGCTCGCAACAGCACCTTCCCTTGGAGACTTGTGGGCTTACAGCGGGCGGTTTCATCAATGGTCCATCGAGCCAGACTTCCCTCATTGAACTGGAGAGCATGACCTTTCACAAGGCGGCAGATGCTCTCCCACACTCCGAATCTCGGGCGGTACAATCATTGAAAATTGAAAAGCTGAGACCAAAGCCACGGCTTCTCGTCAGGCTTGAGCTCAACAAGGGTCGCAAACGGCACTCGATAGGTTGGCAGTACTACTTGGGTAGACGCTGCACTTCCAGAGGTCAACGAGTGTTGCGTCGAATGAGGGCCTGGCAGGCTCTTCGGTTTCTTTTCCTTTGCCTCTCCAAGGATTGGGAGGCGCGCATTGGAGAATTGCTGACCTGGTCTAGGGAGGCAAGGCAACCACGCCATCACCTGCTGTCGCACTGCGATCCTCCTCAAACCACAAAGGGAAAAACCCACAGGGACCGGGTGTCACAGTGTGTCAACCAGTGAAAGCACTCATAGCAGTCATGGCACCACTGGGAGCGGGGCTCCACTTGTGCTTGGCGCAATCTCTGCACGTGTCGAGCCGCCGGCGCTACGTTTGCAGGTGAGGGGGCTGACGACGCCAACGGAGGTATCTCGCCGAGCCCCAGTGGCTCGGTCGGGAAGGTCCTGGGCTCACCGCCGAGCTTGACGGGTCGCGCCGACGGCGGTGTCACCGGGCGCCAGCTTGGGCGCGGTCAGCTCGTCCACGACCACATGCGCCTGATGATGGCCCTGCCTTTCCGGGACGGCGACGAGATCGCCGGCCGGCTTCACGACGCGCCGGCGGAAGACCTTTAATAGACATTGAGGGACCTCGCCTTGCATGAGATACGCCAGCAGGTCGGGCCCCGCGCCTGCCGACATCATCGAAGTCGGAGAGGGCATCAGACGCGTCGTCGTCGGGCTGAAAGTTGAAGGCAGCTGGCACGTCGCACTCGAACAGTGCCCGTTGCCCACTGCCTGCTCCAGCCGTCGTCCCCCGCCGGCGGGACCAGCTTCAACTCCAACGGTGGCGGGAAGCACTGTACCAGACAAGTCCAGCGCCTCGCCTCGACAACCTGCTGCAGTTTCATGGAAGTGGAACCTGCGACCATGATGATGATGGGGTGAGTGTGCCCACGCACTACACACTGATGCACCGCACGCACTACACTGTCACTACACACTGATGCACCGCTCCGCTGGCTGTCGTCGCCAAAACTGCTCGACGCAACTCGCGCACAGTGTTCACAGGCAAGGCATCGGTCTTGCCTCCACGGTGGAAGTGACCAACGCATGAAAAGCGTAGACTGGTCCTCAGATTCACAGACAGCATGATTCCAGTGTCCCAAACCACTGGGATCCAGGCCGTCATGAGGATGCCTGTTCTGCCAACACGCAGAATCCAGATTGCTTGCCTCAACATTTGCCATCCTGTCTCTCCAATCTTCAACCATTCTCCCGCTGTTCTCAAATTCTCTAACGTCCTGTCAGGAGTAAGTTCCACTCCAGCAACAGCTAACATTCATTGTTTCTTCCATATTTTCTCCTGATCTAGGCATCTGTTCTTCTGCCTTCTTCATTATTGCACTCTCATCAATCACAGGAGGTTTTGCTGGGAACAAATCTTCCATTGCTCTCTTGTTCTCTTCCTCCAATTCTTCCATTGTCTTCTTCTTTTCGCTTGCTTCTGCTCTCGGTTCCATCTCAACATCTTGTTCACTTTCCACTTCTTTTCTTTGTTGGCCTTTCATGATCTCCATACTCTTCTTATCCGACTCACTTCCTTTCGAGGATCGTGACGATCACTGAGTTCTTCTAAATCGGTTAGAACTTCTTCGCTGTATTTCCACTCTTCAGCGCACTCAAAGAATTCAAGTTCACTCCAAAGTACTTCTTCACCTTCGTACCCTGTGACCAACGTAGTTCGGTACTTGAACGCTTTCACATCATCGTTCGTTGGGTCATACCGTCACACTAGTGTCTCAGTCAAATCTTGTTGGATTCCCATCTGACATGAAAATCCCTCCTTCATGATACTTCATCTTCTCTATGTCTTCTTCCATCTGCTTGATCAACGTGAGCTTTCTCACCTTTGCCTCTTCTTCAACCATGATAGGCATTGGTGTAGTAACCAATCTTCTCACTTGCTCTGTTCCTGTCGCTGCCGGCGCTGTTCTTGCTTGTGACTGCGTCGATGAGCTTGCTTGCGCATCGTTGTTCCATTCTTCTTCACGCGTTTCTTGAACACTCCGAACTTCTCCGTTTTCCTCCTTTTCGTTTGCCTTTTCCACTTGGCGCCGACCAACACTCCAAGGAGATATGGCCGGTCTTACCGCAACTGTAGCATACAACTCCTTGTCCACCTTTGCCTTTGTTTCCTTCGTAGCCTTTGCCTTCAACCTGCACCACATTCTTTCCACGGTTCTTTCCACCTTTTCCTTTACCGTATCCTTTGCCATATCCTCGCCCTTTTCCTTTTGAGCCTCTGCCACCTTTTCCTCTTCCATAACCTTTCCCTTTCCTCTAC